CTCGTCCAGATCTACGAGGCCAAGTTTACGGTATCGTACCTGCTCTTGGCGACAGAGTACTGTCCGAACGGCGACCTATTGGACTACAGCAGAGCCAACGCGCCGCTGCTGCTCCAGACGATCCAAAAGTTCACCTGGCAGATCGCCGCCGGCCTCGGTGCGCTCCACGCAGCTGGCGTCGTGCACCGCGACATCAAGTACCTAACACTATTCTTTATAAGGGTATCGCGAAATCCTCGCTTTCCCACCGCGAAGCAGCGCATTACGTGCTACAGTCTTGGTGTCAAGGATTCATTCATTTTTGTGCATCTTGGTCGTCTCATTCTCGTAGCATTTCTGCATGCAGATCGATGTTTGGGCCTTGGGTATTATTTTCGCGAGGTTTCGGCACATGCGGCCCGCGCGATCGACATTCCTGCCTACACACCAGTCGCGCTGCACGATTTCATTGCCGGTATGCAGGAGCCCGAGCCGGACCGCCGCCTGTCGACAGCCGAGGTCGCCGCCCACGCGGCGCTCGCGTCGCTCCAAGTCGAAACCAGTAACCGCGCTGCGTTGAGTCGTAACGTAAACTATGAAATGAATGCCACTGCCATGCATTGCATCCAGAGAGCTTGCACTCTTTAGGCGTCGTGAGGCTAGGCAGGTCCGACGACGCAGGTCGTTAATTCTGCATGTACCTATGGACTCCCTTCAAGCACACCTACATCCAACAATACCAGTACAAATGACAACCTTGACGCAACGGGCTGGCGCAAAGGTGCGTTGTTGGTCGGTCATCTCAATTCGAAATCGTCAGCCAAAAGCAGCAGCAATGACCCGATACTTTCGACAAGAGGTCCGGTGGCGTATCTTCTCCTTTATGTGTACGGGGACCCCGGTACAGTAGATGATGGGCAACACATGATCGATACATGTCGAGGTTTGTAGCGGCATACATATGTTCATATTCTTCTGGGTGCCGAACGAAGTGAAAACGCAGGGTATACAAACTCCGGGTTCAAATCCCCTCAGTACCCAATTTTCAGCACCGCAGTACGATCGACAACACGCAAGGACAAGGTCACCGAGGTACACATAATGCATCCGCCTCTAGTCCACGCCTCATGCTCGCTACAGA